GGAGGAGGAAGCGGAGGAACCATACCGAGATTGGACACCAGCGACGATCAAGCGGACTACCTTCGGACGAGAAGAACGCCATGGACTTCATGGACAGAGGTCTACCCCGGATGAGCTCAACGAGACAAGTTCGAGGCCATGAGGCAAACCCGTCTGCAGGGTCTTTCTCATCTGTGGCTATCTTGATGGGTAGATCAGGTAACAGGCGAGGCTCAAAAACAGGCAGCGTTGCGAGCGACTCGAGTGATCAATTCAATAAGAACTATAACTCCGCTGCCATGCCACCAGTCAAAGAAGCACCACGAGAAGAAGCATTGAATGACCCGAGTCGACCACCGCTTTCGAAGGCCAGAGGAATGCCCAGTCGGGTACGGGGAAGCATGAGAAGGAGTTCTGGATGGAATAGGTATTGGTCTGGCGGAAGCTCGATGAACATTCTCGGATTTAGCGGATCGAGACGAACCACGATGGATGAGAACGCCCAACGGGACTCATCCGTTTCAGCCTACTCAGAGCCACGGGCAAGTCAAATAACCCAACAATCGGCCATGCCAGTGCCTTTGAAAGTTCCTGTTCCTGGCCAGCCTGAGCTAAACCGAGTTATGTCTGGAAGTCCTACACTTGCGGTACATTCCACCCCATATCCCTTAACGAGAGAGATGTCAGGTACGATTGAGAGACAGTCAGGTAGCTCTTTCTCGTCATATACTGATGACCGATTGGACGCCTTCTCGAGCGGAATACCTGCAAGTGTCCATGAACAAAACACTTGGACACCCGTCGATGGCAACAACACTTGGGGAAATCATCCTCCAAGTCAGGCGTATACAGAAAGCGTTTACGCACGAGATACGCAGCAGTACCAGACGGAGACTCGATACCCTATACCCTCAGAACCCCAAAGACAGCTTCCGCCGCACGCAAGCGACATGAGTTGGCTCAATCTAGGGAATGACCGAACCCACGACAGGATGTGAGGAAAATCAGACCTTCGCATCGACCAATACACACTTTCATGTCCTGAATGAACACCGCCATTTCCCACTTATACATATACTACATACATATTTTCCATTCTACTCGGTCATATTTGAGCGACGTTATTTCATTTTTTCATGCATCCGCCTGCGGCGTCTTACAGGGAGCATATCTTTGGTTGTTCAAAAGCTAGAGTTCAACTGTCGTCATATGTTTCATCTTGGCAGTCATTTGACTGTTTCTTGTTTCTGGATTTTAATGTTCGAGACAGTAAAGCGGGAAACGAGCGATACGATGCATTTTGTATAGAATTCTCCGGCGTCGTCTGAACTGGCCATCTTGTTTTGTTTTGTTTTCTGTTGGGGAAGAAAGAGAGTTGCTTTTTGTCGATACTGATACCACCACCTGCGCCTGTCATTGGCCTGTCCGCTTATCACTCTTTTTCTGATATGTTTAATGCTTAACTTCTGAGCGGTTATCGTTGTTTGCTTGTGCGCGCTTGCGTTGGAAGAGGTGGAGGAGGAAATGAGGAGGGGTCGCGGGACTTGTGTAAATAAGTGTCGAGTCGAGAAGGAAGTTGGTGGCGGAGGAATCAATTATTGTGCTGTTATGACACATGTTGAATGAATAGCTTAGTATCAATACAGATTGATGCCAATACAAAACCTTAACCTTAATCTACATCTCTATCATCATCATCACTACTGTCTTTCTTCATTGTCAGGTGAATCCAAATAAATTCTTGACCCGAACCCCTGATTTCATCCGATCATCTGTTTTTCTGATTACCTTGGCGACGTTTGGTCTCACAACACTTGATCTTGTGACACGATTACCGTTTCGGAACTGTCGTGAATATAGTTCATCGCGTTCACGGCGGTGAAACTGATGTCTTTTGCTCGCTCGGATGCTGTCACGCTGGTGGTTGGTCGTGTTCATCTGGAATTGTGGCATTCCGAGTAGCGCTCCTGCTGCTTTTAGTTTGATTTCCTTTTTATAGGGGGTTGACTCAGTTGTAGCTGTATTTTGGAGTTGTTGGGACATCGCGCTGTCGTGCTCCGAATCATTGCAGGCGATTCAGCAAGTGTTGGAGTTCTGAATTTTCAACATTCAGGAGCGTATTATCCCAGAGTATTTCGGACCGAGAAGTGTGCGTTATCTTTTAAGTTTTGTAGGTTAAGAAAGTCATGAATCTCTCGGGGGTAGTCACCAGACGTGTGGTGGATGAGGCTTTGATGTCCTTGTTTGTTACACACTGCTTGACCTGGTGGGCGATGGAATGCGGTGGAATGGTCCACTTGGATGGAGTTATAGTGTCACGAGGCTCGTGCATACTAATTATTTTGGGGATAAATTGGTTTCATTTTCTGTATAGAATTTGGCTGCTTTTTTCATGCCTTTCGAAGTGTGTCCAGCAGCAACTCGATTTGGGCTTCTTCTAGGTAATGTACGTTTGAGTCTTTAGTTCAATGGTATGGACTTACTCCTCAATGGACCAAGTTTGGACAAATTTTTGGAGAGGTCTAGGTCCGATCGGCTGTTCTCTAGGGTCAATCGATAATAGTTAGTTATTCAAGTTAAGTATCCAGTCAATTGCAACGTCCATAGAATCGTTCTGACACTTCAGCAAATGAAGACATTACCGACCCTTCCTGCCCTACCTAACCCTCAATCAAAGAACTTCACATTATTGGAGAGTTTCAACACCCTTCACGAGTGTGATTCACTCATATCAAATTCTCCTGCTTCACTAAGGGGGTTAATCACGTGTTCGGTTAAGTGACGAACAGGTGATCACCTCTATCAACCTAGGACGTGGTGATCGAAGTCGACATCATGGTACTAGGCTGGACAGAAACCATGACGCAGTGTATTCGGTGCCAAGTGGCTCATAAACTGTGGAGGTGTTCTCTTCGTCACGCTACTACCGCGCGACAAACGCGAGGCCGAAGTGGTTATGCCAGATTCACCTGACTTGGCCACTTGAAAGGTGAAGAACTTGCTTTCTGAATTTCTAATTCCATTTCTGTGACTAGTGAGCAGCTTTTTAAATGGCATCTTCCAGGCCGTTCGAAGGCCTTGCTCTGTCAATCCATGCTGTTGACAGAGCGTCACTGTATCTCTTTACAGAACGCCTCCGTGAGAGACAGCAGTATTCAGCAAAGATAGGCCCCATTGTCATTCAGTAGCTGCCTCGACTCGTTTTTATGGTGGCAGTGTTATCTCGTAAATCACTAGAGGGTACAATGACAGGATGTAACTCTGATGCTGATTGCGCCAACTATAGACATGGCATTCTTTAGGTACTTTACTTTTCTGGCACATTGTAGATGTAAGATTGCAGCTTTGAAGTCATTAGGAGAGAAATTTAGTTTATAATAATTTTGGTTAGAGATAATAAAAAACCACATCTCAGGTGCATGAAATTATATTTAACAGAGTTGATATTGAAAAGACTTTGTTGACAGCAAAACTTTTCTTCATTCACATATTTGGATATGTAATATAATATTGTTCAATTTCTAACTAACATAGAGAAGCAAATGTCTGTCACGCCACCTGGAAACGATCATGGCACAACCCAAAATCAGAAATGTAAGTATGTGTGGCGTTATTCTTGTTCCTCATACACTAAACACTTAAGCAGACATCCTAAATTACTAACTGCACAAATCCATAGCCCTAGTCTTGATGCTATACCACAGTGGTAAATCTCAAGGCTATCAAATTATTCCTATTGAAGTGGTTGTGGTGGCGGTTGTTTAGTGTTTGTTGAACTTTAAGTTTAATAATTCGCTTAGAAGCGGTGAATTGAATACCCCTTTTCTACCCCTTTCATGAATCAGACTAACAATAGTAGGAGTGTTCGCTAAACAATGTCAATTGTTCTTTGATAAGTTATAGCCTTCTTTTCAGTATTAACTCACCATTTTTGAACTGAATGCACAATGCTTCACGTGGCGAAGAGACGTTGTTGCCACCGTTCAAGGCGATGAGTGGTTAGGAGGAACATCTGTCCCTATCAATATGAGATTAGATCTTCGATCTTTATTTTTCTTGAACCCCACACTCATTCAACAGAATATTGTGTCACTTCTGCTACAAACTTCCGCAAGATCTAGGATGCTAGAGCCCGACCGTAAGATTTCAAAGCCTTTTCAGAGGTTCTTGCAAGGTATTAAGTCTCAATATCTTCTGATATTTGCACAAACTTCATAACTCGGTGAGTTTAATAGCTACATTTCTTTATCTCGAGGCTTCGCTGACATTCAACCCCAGCCTTGAGTTCTGGAAGAACATACAACTCATCCACCATGAGCGAAGCCACATATCAGGTAAGTTCCTCACATGCACATGCCCTCAAGTCAAAACTTTTCATGTGCGACTTGCACCACCGCAGGTAAACTTTCTAAATCTAGTGTAGATGCAAATTGCATCTTCCACCACACCAAACATGCCTCTCAAGACCTTTGAAATGTTCCCCCAACTCCCAGCAGAACTTCGTCTCCAAATATGGGAGACATCTCTCTACACCACCACCGTCGTCGCAATCGGCGAGTACGATTCTCTCTCCCATCGACATAAACCAACTAAATTAGGTACCGAAATTGCCTACGTTTGTAAAGAAAGTCGAGCAGCCGCATTACTGTACCTCAAGTCCTTCTACCTCACCAACAACAAAAGCGACCCCGTGATCCTACTCAACCCTGACCATCATGTCGTCTACCTCACGGATAACTTCGACAATAAAAAATGCTCATTCAACACCTTGACTGATTGTTCAGAGAAGCACAATCTCAAAATCTACGATCAGCTGAACGACAGAACTATCTTCAGGTCCATCAAACACCTCGCCATTCCAACACGTTGGTTATTCCAACCACAAGATAACCGAGACCAAGTCTTCGAGTTAAACGACTGTCTTAAGATGGACTTGCTGTCCGTGAGTTTCGTGGTCGTCGCTGATGAAGTGAAAGAGCGTGGTGTTGGCACGATCGTCTCGCCTCGTCGCCCACCCCTAAAAGCTCACCATTATGATTTCGCTCATCGTCAACAGCAGGTTCCTGTCAGGCTTTTTATCGATACAGGTTTGAGAACGGGTTCAGTAGGAAGTTATAGGGATGACGCAAATCTGTTGACGATGAGGCTTGAAACTCAACTTAATGAAGAGATAAAGGAGTGGAAGGATCGTGCTGATGGTGGGTAACCCGCTCCATTTGGTTTTTTTTGACAGTTAACATCGTATCTACAGACACAAAACACCCTGAGAGATTGCAAGACTGGATCGCTCTCGGTCATCGCGATCTGTCGTCCTGGAAAGTACCGCACTTAGAGTTTGTTGACCTCATGGTAACCGCACCTGGCTCACCTGACAATGATGACGGATACGAGTATGATTTCTCAAAAGAGGCAGGCGAAAAAAGAGCAAGGGAGTGGGACGAGTCAGACGATGAGGATACGTCTGAGACTATTGATCGAGATGTTTTTGCGCCGAGAAAGCGTAGAACACGAGGATAGCCTGGGTTTGGGTGCTGCGTTGCTTTCAGGGGCTAGGGATTCGGATATTAGGAGGACAAAATTGAAAACGCGGTCTTGGAGTCAAGAAATATCTTTTAGAGTTGGTATATAACCTCTCAGATGTAAGCCCCATATACGGCGGATGTGATGGGCGAAAAGGCATTTCGTTGTCAGGATCATGGATTTGGATACTAGGTGGACAAATTGAAACTGGGGATTTGATTAGGAACGCAAAATTTAGGATTGGTATGTACCTCTGAGATATAATCGCCATATAGAGCGAGAGCTGATAATGCAAAACAAAAAAAACTTTTCCTCCCCAGAATCATAGCATTTGGACACAGCCTAAGTGTATACAAAATTGGAAACCCGGGGTTGGAGTCAAGTTGATGCCTGAATAGAGTAGTCAACAAGCTACGAGACAATTTAGCAACAACTGGGAAACATATGGTTTCAATGTGAAAATAAATTGGATAGAGACGCTGCTTTCCGATGTGCGGCGTCTATATAGATATCTTGGAAACCTAAAGGACTGTTGCATTAAAGATTATTGGTTGAAACGTATTGGCGCTTGATCAAATTGCTGTTCTGTGCCCAGTATTATACATGCTAAATACATGGTATACCAAACTCCTCCCCCTAGGTCTAAAAGTACAATGATAATACAAACATCGTTATTACAGCCGACCACCCACAACACCATTATTGGCAACCGTATCCTCACGATGCGCGGCAGTACCACCGACTCCATTAGCCTTCTTGCCATGCAACATCACCTGATCGGCAGTCACCAGATCTTCTCCCACAGGAGCTTCCCACTTGCTGCTCTGAAGGGGTGGCACATGTAGCAAGTACATAGTATCGATTTCCTCTAGAGACTTGTTGTTTGATTCGAGGAGGAAGAAATAGACTGTCGCTGCTGCAGCGAGGTTACAGCCCGCAAAGACGTAGCCATAAGCGAAGTCAATTTGCTCGGAGATGAGACGGGTTGTGAAGGCGAGATAGAAGTTCCAGATCCACTGAGAACGATGTCAGTCAAATCTCGCTTAAATTTATGAGGAAAGGGGCGCCTTACGTTGGATGAAGCGCAGAAAGAGATCGCAGTTGATCTGTAGCGCGTAGGATACATCTCCGCAACAACTGCCCAGGCCATTGGACCCCAGGTAGAAGCGAACGACGCGATAAAGAGGCACGCAAAGATGATCATTACGTATCCAATAGTCTGATCGGTCAATCTCTCACCAGCCTCGTCAACTCCACCAGTATAGAGTCGGAATTGTCCCAAGCTGGCGAATACCATCCAGCAAGCGAACTGCCAGAGAGCTCCATAGGTAAGACACTTGCGTCGACCAAACTTTTCGACCATGTACAAGCCAGGAAATGTACAAACAACGTTGACAGCTCCCAGGATGATTTGAGTGATGAAGGAGTTGCCGATACCGACAGAGCCGAACAGAGTTGTTCCGAAGTACATGAAATAATTCATTCCTGTGGAGCCGCTCGTCAGAAAAGAGTATTCCAAAAGACCAGAGGGATGAAGATAGACACAACATACCAGTTAGTTGCTGGAACATTTGAATTGCCATACCGAGAAGTATTCTGTACAGCATTCGAGGTCCAGTGAACACTTCATACCACTGGGTGCAAATATAATTAGCACAATTTTCGTATAAAATTAGGTCGGGCGAGAATTCGCTTATTGTTTACTCACAGGTCCCTTTCCAGCAGCTCGTTCTGACTCGAGCTTTTCTTGTAGTTCGCGCATTTGCGAGTGGATGACTTGGTGATTCTCAGAAACGCCATAAAACTTTGCGATAGAATGTTGTGCACGGTTTACTTTGCCGTTGGCGTAATCATGGCGAGGACTAGTTACTCGTTAATAACGGTCATCCGTGAGAAGAAGTAATCTGTTATACCTTTCAGGGAAAAGAAGCATGCCGCCACCGAGGATAAGTGGCCACAAGAATCCGATACCCAATGGAATTCTCCAGGATCCAGTGTTCTCAATGCCCTCGGTTGCATAATTGAAAATGTTCGAAAGCAAGATACCAATAGTGATGAACAGCTGGTAACAGCAGACAATGGCACCTCGAATATGTGTAGGAGCTGCTTCTCCTTGATACATGGGTACTAGCACGGAAAGCCCACCAATACCCAGTCCAGATACGATGCGGCCAGCCATCATGGTATACCATTCCGGATACTCAGCAGCCATTTGAACAATGTTGCCGATAATGAAGACTGCGCACCACAAAAGAACACTCATCTTACGGCCCACTCTCGAATTGGCGATCGATGCAGACGTTAATGCACCGATAAGTGTACCGATAGACAGCATTCCTACAATAAGACCTGATCGCTGCCAGGTGAATGAGTACGGAGAATCAGGAGGTCCATTTCGTTGATCTGCAAATTGATACAGAAAGTTGTCCATCTCCTGGAAACCAGATATTTGTCCAGTGTCGTAGCCGAAGCAGATACCTGGATGATAATTAACAACGACGAAGGCTGTAATAACGTAGTAAACGTACCACCCATACTGACGAGCATAGTCATGAAGAAAGTGCGAAGGGTAAGAAAAGGGACTTTTGAGTCCTCATAGTTGCCCTTTTCCATGGCCACTGTTCGTCGCTGGTTGTTGTCGACAGCAGTGCCCGCGTCGGACAGACTATCTGAGTGGTCTAGGACTCCACTCATCTTGAATGCCAATTATTGTGAGATTGGGATCTTTTCTTCTTTCGCCAAAAGAATACCTTGAGTAATCGTTCACGAGAGGTGACACAGAGGAAGCGACTCCTATATACTTATGGCGCTAGCCTCCTAGCAAGTCTCTGCAAAGAAGTCATGGCCTATGTCAGACTTGTCCCTGGTAAGCCACCCCCGCTCTCATATTTCTTTTGTTTTACGAAGTCAAACATAGTGAAGATGAAGAGTTCGGCCGAACAAATGTGATCGGCGATCCAATGAAGCGCTATTGATTGGCTGTTGATCAAAAAGAAGCGGCTCGCGTCTTGTTTCTTGACCCCAGGTCTTGCGAGTCGTCATTAAAAAGTCACGAGTTGAATTTGACCGCGAAAGAACCGTTGGTAGCCACACTTGGCTCTGGACGTTTCCAAGAGAAACGATTGATTGAGTTGACTGAGGTGACGATAGCCAAGTAGGTGTTCTTCACCTTGGCTCCTGTGTCGTCCAGAGCTCGCGTTCTAGCGACATTCTAGCGAGCTTCTAGCGTAATGCCATGGCAAGCCACCCGCTGGAATGACCCCACTAATGCCCACAGCAAGAGAACCACTCCGCAACATCCGTCAATTGTCAACCCACAAAGGCACCGACGACTCGGGACCACCGTTGATAGGGTTTCTTCGAAGAGGGTGCTAGCACTCTTTTCAAACTTTCTGGAATAACGAGTAAATTCAGGCTCTCGTTCTAATGATTGGGATGTCACCCTCCATTAATCGAGGATCATGTCAAGCAGATGAACTACACCCCTATGTATCGTCGCTTGAGTGCTCGCAAGATATATGATAAGAGATTGATTAACACGTTGTCCTCACTGCCAGCGTCTGTTTGTTACCGTTCTCCCACATATCTGTTAACACTTGTCTCGGGGCGCTGGCAATTAGACCAGATTCTTTTACCATTGGAATTGAAAAATGATTTGCCGTTCATGAAGTCTGGAAATTTTCTTCTTCCTCTATCACTATCTGTAGTTGACGAAGTTCTCAGGGAGTTTGCAAGGATGAATTTATCCTTTTCCTTACGTTTCCAACAAGTTGGTTGGAGTTGGTGGCGGCGTCTCACATTTGCTTGCGAACACATGGCTATAGAGATCACATTCTCACTGTTGACCACCAGAGCTCTCTTTGGGTTCTATCTGTCATGTATTAGTAGTCCAAAATGTTTCCTTATGCATTTATCGGCGAGAAAACAGAATATCCAAATGACGCAGTCCAACATAAGCAGGCTGCATTCGGTATCGGAACTCTAGATTTTGATTCCTATATCATCGTAAGAAATTCTCCTCAAAACTTCCTAGAGGCAAATCTCAAGAATTAAAACTTCCTTCCAGGAAAATTGGAGTCTTACAAGTCCGCAAAGCAAATCAGAACAACACTCAGATCTTGTCAGAAGCTGGCTCGCACTAGGCACTCAAGCAGATTAGTACATGCCCAACCTCTACTCATCATCTCCATCTCATGACCAGATCAGAAATACCAGCGACCCGGTTACGAACCCCTGATGCATTAGACGGTATTCCTCGCGATCTCCAAACCAAATATCAGCGAGCCGTTCTCATGGACCGTCGACCACGGCTGATATGGGTGCGAACCTGGTTCGGTAACGGGACCGTCACCCGAGAAGAAGCAGATACGGCATATGGAAAGCTTTGCGCGCATTGCGACGACGATAAATCCGAATTCATAGACGGAGACGGGGCATTTGAAGACGATGAAAGTCTCGCTGACCGCGTAGGTGCACGAACAACCACAGGCGTCACTCCTCCATATGTATTCCAAATTTTGAAACGATATCCGGATTTCATGTATAGTCCGAGTGATGCGAAAGATGTTAGGATCGTGGAGAGCGGGAAATATGTTGGGCAGCAGAAGCTGCTATTTTTGGTTGCCGATAAGAGGGCTTGTAAATTAGGGGAGATGTTGCTATTAGGTGTTGATGAGTTTGGAGAGATGATGCCAGGGAGATTAAGGGTTAAGGCTGGGGATGTTATTGTCAGTGTGGGGAATTGGTTTGATGGGCAGGCTCTTGATGAGAATTTTCGGGAGGGGGAGGAAGGTGAACAGGAGTGTAATCTTGATGGTGGGGGTTGGGATTTGGGGTACGTGATTTGAATCTACCAAAACCTAATGATAGCGATGATTTATCAGCGTCATTGTAGCTGGAAAAGCAATTTTACTGGAAGTATACTGCTTCCAAGTCTGCTATCGAGAATACAATTAACCGTAATCCGCTCATAGTCAGATCTGGGACCCTATTGCCACATGAGTATTACGGGGAGCTGGCAGGAGTATGAGCTGGCAACGCTGTACTATCCCTCGAGGTTGTACAGCTGATATATTCAATTTCAGGGGCGATTGTTATTGCAAGCGAAGAGGTTTAGGGGTTAAGCGAAGCACCAGGAAATCGTCACTCGTAGTGTCAAATCATCGGACCTGGCAGAATGAGCTATCAGTGAATTGTGAGTGGTTCAATCCAGTCATATTCCAAAAATAAAGAAGAAATACACGAGCGCTAATTATGCGGCCAATGAACGGTTGCATCCAACCCGCTTGATTGTTGGCAAGTTAACAGGCCGAACTTTAGGAAATACACTTACCACGCCCAGCGTATTTATTCCCCTTCATAATCCTGGGACATACAACTCAGACTTCTTTTTCCATTAGATATCGAGATGAGACAACTGTTAAATGTCTTTTTCTTACTCGATTTGGGGCTGCTCTCCTTTGCCGAGCAATCTTTAGCCCGCAAGGAGCTGGTGTTTGGAATCCCTTGTCCTTATCCAAGATGTCCATGTCCTTCGAAGGAGAGAGTATCTGCTCCAGGTATCGGATTTGCACTCGAATTTGATTATGGGTATGTTCAATATCTCATATTAATCGTAATCGTAATGATTAAACCAATAACGAATCCCCACGGTCTAGAACTGCGTCCGTCAGATACGATAATGGTACTTCTATTCCAGTAGCTAAGGTCAAGGGGTCATCCGAATACAAAACCTTGATGAAAGAATTCTCTGACGCTCCTATCAACCGTGGATCTTGGGGTGTAAAATCACCCGAAACAATGGAGGTGTCTGAGTATGGCGGTATTCCCATCTGGGCTTGGTTATACTTTCGACGACTTCTCAACAAAGTCCTCTTGCGACCATCCACACCAGAAATAAGGATATTGGCCGAAATGGTGTCAAATTTGAGTCAGGAAGTGGAATCTTATCTGGGAAGGAAAGTCAAAAGGGCTGCTTTAGCTTCACCAAATCGAGCTGGCCTCACAGCACACGAGATAGGAGATGTCTTTTACTATCTCGGGATCGAGGATCTTGTAATTGATAGTTACGATCTAGCGGTGTTCTCTAGCCTCTCTTCCATGGCTGCCGCGATGGCTGGCTATGGCGAAGGACTATGTCCTCACTATACCAACTCCTATATATGTCTCAAAGAGGAACATTATTTTCCCATGCGTCGGACACTTCATTTAGATTACAGTAACAACACTCTCAGCGGAGGTGTAGAACGACTTACAACGGCAAGAAAATATTACTTCCACGATTACTTTGCTGAGCTGGAGATAGGCAGTGAGCACCTACATCAAAACGCGGTTCATGAGGCAGAGTATTTTGTAGCACTCGAGTCGCGCATTCGAGCCGTTATCAAAGATCGAAAGATTGAAGGTCTGCTTTTGACGGGCGAAAGCGCATGGGAACCAAAATTCATTCAGGTTGTTAAGAATGTATTATCAAGCGTTTCGTTACCAAATGTGACGAGCTGGCTAGATGATTTGCCTTCGAACTTTTCAGACAAAGCTCTTTACGCAACTTCTATTGGGGCAGCTGAGTTGGCGAAGCGGAGACAGGAGGGTATGGCGAGGTGCATAATGCCCTATGAGTGCGCTGAACGGAGTTCGGCAAAGATTGGAAGTCACACAGATGAATTATAATTACTCAACTTATTTTGAAACTGCACGATTCAAGGACGGTATTTCGCACCATAATATCTGCACAATATTTTTTGGGTTTCTCTCAACCTGGGCGATGGCCCATCCCATCAGTTGCACTGGCATCTTGCTAATACCAAACCGTGCTAAAAGATCCTAGCTCTTTTATATACAATTGTTCGGTATTGACTTGCAAGGTGAATCGACTGAAACGTGAATATAGAACAACTTGTACAAGACTTCATTCGAAAATCGGAGTTCACAAAGCACCATCTGCTTATTGACTCGAAATATAGGTAGTATTGAAAATAGACATGACTATCGTCGACTGCCTATTTACTTGATTTGCTGCTTGATAATGTTTGTCCATGCCTTCACTACATCAATACGGCATGGTTCTGGATGAGGTTATACAATCCCAACTCTCGAAAAAAAACAGGCAATCCTTAATTCCCCAAGGCTAATATTCATGCCCGAGCATCCCAATCAAAGTAGACCACCATTCTCCCTCCAACTTGTTACCCTTATACACGTTCCCCTACCCTCTCATAGCCACTATAACAACCAAGCAAATCGTGCCCAAAAACCAACAAAACACAAACAGCAAGAAGAGTATCGCATACATCTCAGCGTTCTTAGTCAGCTCTACCTGTACCTGGGACCTGTATTCTGGCTGGGAAGCTAAAAACCCAACATCCGCCGCTGTGAGACGATGGGTTTTGGCGAGGGCGAGGAGGGATTGGTGATCGTGGTTAAGTGCTGCGGTTGAAGTTGGGAATGTCGAGTAAGGTGGCAGGCTATCTGTTGTTAAGATCTGGCGTTCAAGATCTGCTGATGTGGAGGGGAGCTTTGGGGAAGACATTTTGCTAGTTGATAGGTGGTAATTGGAAGGTGGTTGTCTGGGAATATTTGAGTGTTTGATTAGTTAAGGCGCAGTGTGCTCTCAATAGACTCTTAACTCCTTATAACCTAAATTTACCAAGTTACATGTAACTATTCACTCACCCTTGATTCACCTTATAATTACCCTTCTACCTCTAATCTACCCTTGATTCACCGAAAAGAGTAGAAACAACTACCATTAGCGACAGCGAAGATGCGATCTCTTTTTAAAAGTGCCGCCAAAGAGTTAGGATTACTGATTAATTGTTGAGACTTTATATAAACTAATTAAGAGTTCTCGGCGGTGTTATAACATGAAATTTATACAGTAATACAATACACTAGTGATCTAGTAATAGAATAACCTATGTAATAGTGTAAATCTACTTATTATACCGCCGATAGTATATTTAAAATATTTCCACCCTACTACGACCCCCTATTTCCCCTCTATACTACCCAGTTCACTGTTTTTACCCCCTTAACAATACCGTAGATAGCCACGGCAATCATATAATACAATAAAAATGTTACAAACACGAAAAACCTGCCGTCGGCGTTCTTGTACACCGCCCGTTGCTTTAGAGTCTAATATTATGGCTGAGCTGCTAAGAACTGAACATCTGCCGCAGTGAGACTGTGTGCTCGGGCGGAGGTAAGGTGGGATTAGTGGTCGTAGTTAAGGGTATTTTAGTTGAGACCGGGGGAGGTGGTGGATGTTGGGTAAGGTGGCAGCTCCTGTGTTGACGAGTGTTGAAATTCGAGATCTGGTGAGGTGGCGCAAGAGGGAAGGTTATCTGTTAACGAGACTTGACGTTCCAGTTCTAATGATGTGGTGGGCAGTTCTGCATAAGTCATTTTGCTGGCTGATAGAGGTGGTTTTCCGGATGGAGGGTATGGGATTTGGGAAATTTGGTCACATGACGTGGACTATTTGGACAGTGCTTTTGGTGGTTAGGTAGCTGTTGGGTTGAATTCACCTATTTATGACATTTTATATTCATTTCTTGTTCAACCCTCATTTGTCTCAACTCAGCTAACTAACCCCTCACTTACAGATAAACCGCTCATTTATTGAAAAGAGTAGAAACAACTATTAGCGAAGGCAACGACGGTAATGACAGTATTGGCTAAAGTTATATCTTTCTTAAGAAGCACTTAAAAAGATATAATTATTCATTAAATATTTCCATCACCCCCTACGCACAATTCCCTACTCTCCCGTAGGCCGCCAAATAATCGTAAAAATCAGCAAGGCAACATAACAACCTACAACCACTGAGAACAACTGCCTAGAACTCTTCGCATGTGCCGCTCGTTGTTCCGGAGTATTAAACTCCAGCTTCGCCGCCAAGAACTTAATATCCGCCGCCGTAAGATGATAAGTATTAGCGAAAGCGAGAATATGTCGGTGGTTGTCGTCAAGGGTGCTACTGTGGCCGTCGGGGGATGTGGAGTGAGGAGGAATGCGAGCCGCCAAGAATTGAATATCTGCCGCCGTGAGATGATGGATTCGGGCGTGGGCGAGGAGCGATTGGTGGTCATGCTCAAGGATGCTGACGTGGAGAGCGGGGGATATGGTGTACGGAGGAAGATCGTCAGTTGATGAGACTTGGCCGAGTTCAAGATCTTCTTTATCTTGTATAGAGGGGGTTTGGTGGAAGACATTTTGCTGGTTAATGGATAATGAGATAGAGGTTGATCAATGGGATTTTGTGTGTTAGGTTAAAGGTAGCGCTCTTGATGGATTCTGTGTTTGACTCTATACTTCTTATAACCTTCTAAGTTATTACACATATGCATTCTCCCTTAATTCACCCGCTAATCACCCTACTGCCTCTGCTCTACCCGTAATTCACTTAAAAGAGTAGAAACTTTTGTTAGCGATAGACGAAGACACGCTTTCTTTCTAAGAGAGTTATTATAGAGTTAGCATTAACTATTAGTATGACATATAACGTTTAATAACATATCCCCTAGTATATTAAAAGACTCCGGAGTATAATTTGGCCGGAAAGTAACAGCTTATTATACCGCTAACGGCGTAGTTAAAGTATCCCTACACTCTAATCACCACCCAACTCACCATTTCCCCGTCATCACCCCCCTAACAGCTATAAATATCACTCCGCCAAGTGCGCTAAACACACAAAGCAACAAAAACAACGCAACAATCCCCTCTGCTTTTCTTTTCGCCCGTTGCTGCTCCGGTGTCGGTGTCGGAGCCGGAGTCCTATACTCTGGTCGAGCGGCCAAGAAATGGATATCTGCCGCAGTAAGATGATGAGTCCGGGCGTGAGCGAGGAGCGATGGGTGATCGTGGTTGAGTTCCGACAAGGGTATTTCGGTTGAGGTTGGGGAGGTGGTGTAGGGAGGAAGATCATCGGATGATGGGACTTGGTCGCGTTCGAGATCTAGTGATGTGGAGGGGAGTTGGCGTAAGACATTTTGTTGGTTGATGGATAATAAGTGTGGTGGTGAAGTTATAGGTGGATTGGGTGGAATGTATGTGTGTTTTGGTTTGGGTGTTTGGTTGTTTGGTTGAAGAAGGAAGACACAAGACAACGGTTCATAAGGCGGGAAGGTGTCCGAGTTCATAGTTGAGTATAACCTAACTAGCTATACCATCCATCTATTCACCACTTTTCCACCCCCTATTCATCCCCCAACTACCCCTCCTAACCCTCACCCAACACTAGCTCATTTCATAAAGCGAATTCACGAGCACTATGTCGAGACACATGGTAGTACGTAGTCAGTGACTTATCGGGTATTAGAAAGTAAGTCTTACACTAAAGATACATAGAGATGAGGAATACAGTAAGGATAGAACCGCTAGGAAGATAGTAAACTTACCTTGGAAAGAGGAGTGTGTTACTTGACTTGAGATACATATTATCGGGGATAAGCGCTTCGCCTCGATTTATGCCGCTCTCATCGTCTACCTTCTCCGCCAAGCTCATTTCAAGAACCGGCTTGCTTCCCTAAACGCCTTCAATTATGAAAAGCATCCAATGAGAAGGGTACGATAACGAAATGTCTCAGAACCTACTCATTTCCACATCTCACAAAGCCTCAAGCCACAAACTCACGAATTATAGTAACACATAAAAATGAATCAAAAAATTGGGGATATCATTTGCATAAAAACCAATACAAACTATACAATATAAAAAAAAATTTGAGGTATCCAAAGAAGGTATAACCAAAAACAACGAAAATCTGAGCCCTCCACCCCAACGCTCACCCCCATCTCCCCACAACTCCTTACAATAAAAGTAGTAGTAGTTTAATTTATATCCAACCTCTCACCCCCCAACAACACGCTCACAATTACAAAAGTTTACTTCAAAATGGGTTTTAAACACCATTAACACCCTTCTTCTCCTTAATCTCGCTCTCAGCCGCGACGCCATGACGATCGCCACCAATCCCCGTATGCGCGTTCCCAGAATCAAGTTCGCTCTCGGGGGAATGACCATTGATCATCTCGCTATGCTGCGGGATGCCGTGACGGTCGCCAGGGTTGACATTGCTATTCGATTTCTCAGGGGCGTCGGTAGCCGGGGTCCAGGCGAGGTAATCGCGACGGACCTCGACGTAGTCGTAGGCGAACTCGCCGAGCTGGTCGTCGTCCATGCCGAGGAGCTCTGCTTCCTCGGAGGCGCGGAGCTTGAGACCGGGGATGGCGTTGATGGCGTAGGCGATGCCGGCGGAGATAACGAACGAGTAGGCGGTGCAGGCGACGATGTAGGCGATTTGGATGTAGAGCTGTTTGTAGTTGTGGTTGAGCCAGCCGCCTGTGATGCCGTTGTTGACGCCGTCGAGACCGATGATGTAGTCGGCGGCGAAGAGACCGTTGAAGACGAGGCCGACGATGCCGGCGATTCCGTGCTCTGCCATCACGTCCATGGAATCATCGATCTTGATCCAGAATTTGACTAGGAGGGGTTAGAATGGGATGAGGTAGGGGGAAGGTGGGGCTTACTCTTGGTGGAAAAATTGCAAATAATACCAGCTGCGATACCGAGAATAACAGATGCCCATGGGGTGATAAATCCAGATGCTGGAGTGGCTGCTACGAGACCGGAGATGGTACCAGAACACCAGCCGACCATGGACCATTTCCTCGCGAGGCGGTAATCGAGAAGACACCAAGTGATGGCACCGAACATGGCAGTCAAGCACTTTGAAAATTAGCATTTATTAAATTTCAGGGGGGATTCGAGCTTACCGAGTTCCAGCATGCCATGACAGCACGAAGGTTAGCTCCGAAAGCAGATCCACCGTTGAATCCCAACCATCCAAACCACAGAAGAATCGTACCGAGGGTGATCAAAGAAACGTTGTGAGGTCTGAAGTTCAACATCATCTTCTCTTGGCGTCTTCCGAGAACCATAGAGTATGCGAGGGCACTGGCACCGGAAACGATTTCGACAGGCCCGCCTCCAGCATAATCCAAAACACCATAGTTGAATGCCCATCCATTGACGTTCCATACCCAGCATGCGACTGGGCAGTAGACCAAAGTGGCCCAGCAGAAGATGAATACCAAGGCTGGAATAAGACGACCTCGCTCAGCGACGGCCCCCATGACAATTGCTGCCGTGACGGCGCAGAATTGCATCTGTGAAACGTTAGTTTTTGATTGCCTTACTTTTGCCTGATTTGATTTCGTACCTGGTAGAAAGAATATAAAAGTTCAGGAATAAGTGGCGATCCAGGTGATGGCGTTCCAAGCGTATGCATCAATCCAAAATGTCCCAAATTCCCGATAAAACCATTGGTTGCTGACGAGCTGAAAGCCAAGGAATAACCCCAGAAATACCATTGAAATGTAATAATCGAAGAGGATGCCATGACTGCCCAAATCATCGAGAGGGCAGACTTGCGTCGCGCGAGCCCCGAGTAGAGGAACCCTAGGCCCGGGACCATGATCAAGACCATACATGCCGAAATCAGAATATAGGAAACATCACCGGTGGAAAACCACTGGTTCAAATTCTCGGTGGCTGTAAATTAAGGTAATTAGCACTTGTTGCGGGATGTGGTAAGGAATGCCAAGCGTGGTGTGCATGGCAAAGGAAAGATAAGAGAGATAAACGTACCAGAATCACCACCATCGTAACCTGTGCCATTGTACTCTGTTGGCGCGCCGGTCCACGCGTAATTTGGGGCGTAGGACATCTTGAGACTCGCTGTCTTCTTTCCTCTCGATTGAAGTCGTCGCTCTCGAAAATAATAGTGCCGATCTAAATTCGTGCCGAAGTCGGCCGGCTAACACTGGTCGTGACGATGATGCTGTCTCGGGTCGTAGGAAGAGAGTGATACAATCCAATGTCGAACAAAGTGCACAGGAGAAAACTCGACTGTATCCTCAAAGCACAACACTCTCGAGAAGAATTGGAAGTGAGGAGGAGTCGAGGCCAGCAATGATGGGCTCCCGCGTCGAGATAAAAGGGACGTCTATCTACGCCAGTGGGTCGGATAGGCGTTTCTGGGAAGAATGGGCGGAGTTAGCAGCCGTTAGTACCCAAACTACAAAGGGATCCAGGAGAGATACAGGAGCAAGTCGGCGAGGCAAAGAACGTCGGGGGATCGATTTCCCTTTAGTACTCCCGACTCGACTCGATCATGCCAAAGATGCCCAGCTTTTTAGCTATGTAATGCGTGGTGGACCTGGTCGGTCGACCTGGTAGAACGGCCCACCCACCCACGCACCCGCATGTTGCCCAGAGACGGCTGTGTACACAGTTGGACCTCAATCAAAGACCCGCGCTCGCCTGTGACTCCGTAAAGGGAAGAGAAATTGGCCCAAGAAAGTCTTTCTGGGATGATAAAGAAAAAGCATCGTGTCTCATGCCCAGCAAGAAGAGGATGACTGCAGCTGGCGGTTCCATCCACACGCGACTGCAACTCACTGCTGTGCTCTTCATATTTTCCGCGCAGGGGTTTTCAAGGCACACAGGGGACGG